CCCCCCAAAACAGGAGCACCATAACCCACCCCCGTGGGGTAGCTGGAGGGTCTCTAGTGCCACAGGGGCAGGACAGGGGAGCTGGGGGGGCTGCAGGGCAGGGAGTGCTGCCGGGGGCCGAAGTGACACTGGAATTAGGGCTCCCTGCTCCGGGGGAGGATGTTGGAGCCGGAGCACAGGAGGGGAAGAGTGTCTGGGATCGTTTGGCTGCGATGCTGCGTACTGTGGCAGCCGAGAGGGATGCAGGAGCCTTTGTAGAGAGAGCGGCGCTGAACGGAGCTGCTGCCGAGGAGCCAAGCAGGCCCCTGGTGCTGATGTTGTCGTTTGTGTCTCTGTTGTGTATTATTTCCAGCTGACTGGTAAAGATGGAAAGAGGGAGAGGAGGAGGAGGAGGAGGAAGGAACCTGGGAGGCTCTGGCCTGCACAGGAGCGTTTATTCCCAGTCCCAACAGCAGTACCACTACCCTGCCTCCTCCCAGGGGAGCTGCATGGAGATCCAGGAGCTGGCCTCCAAGAGGGTGGACATCCAGAAGAAGCGGTTTTACCTGGATGTGAAACAGAGCTCCCGCGGCCGCTTCCTGAAGATCGCCGAGGTCTGGATAGGAAGAGGCCGGCAGGACAACATCAGGAAAAGCAAGCTGACCCTCTCCCTGTCCGTGGCTGCCGAGCTGAAGGACTGCCTGGGGGACTTCATCGAGCACTACGCCCACCTGGGCCTGAAGGGCGGCCACCGGGGGCACGAGCACAGCAATGACAAGGAGCAGCATCCCCGGAGGCGGCAGCAGCACCCGCCGCCCTCGCCCCCGGTGTCCGTGGGCTCCGAAGAGCCCCCTCACAGCGTCCTCAAAACGGAGTACATCGAGAGGGACAACAGGAAGTACTACCTGGACCTGAAGGAGAACCAGCGCGGGCGCTTCTTGCGGATTAGGCAAACCATGAGCAGGGGACCTGGCATGATGGGCTACTTTGGCCACAGCTTGGGACAGGAGCAGACGATCGTCCTCCCGGCGCAGGGGATGATCGAGTTCAGGGATGCTTTGGTCCAGCTGATCGAAGAGTACGGCGAGGGGGACATAGAGGACCGGCGGGGGGGAGGCGACGAGCCCCCGGAGCTCCCCGAGGGCACCTCCTTCCGAGTGGACAACAAGCGCTTCTACTTCGACGTGGGATCCAACAGGTACGGCATTTTCCTGAAGGTAAGTGAGGTGAGGCCGCCCTACCGTAACACCATCACAGTCCCCTACAAAGCGTGGACACGGTTCGGGGAAAATTTTATCAAGTACGAAGAAGAGATGAGGAGAATTTACAACAGCCATAAAGAAAAAAGAATGGATGCCAGAGGGGACAGTGGTGAAGAGCAAGAGGGTCTGGAATAGAGTGCATTGGACAAATAACGAAACAAAACAAGCAGAAATTGGTGAGAGGGACTGACCTATAGTAATTCCAAGTTGCCCCAAGTTTTTTGTAAAGTCCTTTTCTGGGAGTTCTTGCTAACTCTGGTACATAATGTTATAGGAGTCTGGTTATCACGTTAAATTACACCCAAAACATCTCCGTATGTCTTAGGAAAGGACCAGCCTCCCGAGTCCGTATGAGTCAGCTGCTTCGAGTGTTGAAGACTATGGAAGTTCGCGTATCAGCACAAACAAAATCCGGCACTCTGACCTTTAAATAGTCTAGATAAGGCTTGTGTTGCACTTAAACATGATACAAAAGTACCCCCACCCCAAACCTTAAGATGAAACGTATCACTTTCTGCTTATCACGGGTTTTCCTGGACTGGCTTCTGCCCGTGCTCGGTCCAAAGGCTGAGCAGTGCCACTGTAGAGCGTTCACGGCCAAAATCAAATCCACGTGAATTGCTGGTCTGTGCGAGGAGGGAGAGAGGTTTTAAAATTGGCATCTGCTGGTTATTGGGTGGGAAACAACAGTCTGTGTGGGTAAAACCTCGATAACCAGTCAGACCTGGGTCACGTGCTGGTGAAGGGCAGAAGATTTGTTACTCATTCCGTAGTTTTGTGCTGACTGGATAACCTGAGTCTCCCGGGATAGCAGAGCTCTGCTCGAGCGCTAAGCCCTCTGAATTAGTGGCAATGAATAATAACCCACTCCTCATCTCCGTGTTCCGCCCGTGTGAGGCTGGCCATTTTTTTTTTATTATTATTATTATTATTTTTAATGCATTTTGCCCGAAATTTCAGAAGGTATTTTTGTACGAGGTGTGTTACGGGTTCCAGCAGGCGACTGTGGAGTGGGTGCGGGGAGGTGGATGGAACGCTTCTCTCCCAGGCGTGAGATTAATCCGGTCACGATGTTACCTGTGCCAGGAAAACACCCTGGGCGTGAGAAAGACCTCTGGGGGGTTTGGTGCACCGCTGCATTCATAGGCAAAGGCACCTCTGTCAATGCTCACCCGCGGCGCATTTCGGAAGCCCTGGTGGGCACCATGTCGGGTTTTCTGTCCTGTTGATTTTCCAGGTGGTGTTGTCGTTAGGAGGTGGTATCCATGCCCTACCATCACCCCCCTTTCCCACTCGCTCGGAGCTGGAGCTGCCATTGAGCAGTTCCAGTCCAGTGTGGGTGTCGCCCCGCTGGAGCCTTTGTGACGTCAAGTTTTGCATCTCACGATATCGACTCTCTGCCTGGAGGGAAAATGGGTGCAATTACCCGGCTGGGAGGTTGATGAAAGATTTTGTTGTTTCTTAAAACGTGAATAATTTATAGTGTAAGGGGCTTGTCCACTATTTGGGTGACCAGCTCCTTCCCCTGGAACCAGCGGGAGTTTGATTGAGCTCCAGGTACTTCCAGTAGCGTGCTGCTCACCTTTAAGCTTGTTTGAAATAGGCATTTCCATGTCTAATGAGAAATTCATAATCATTCGGATCGTTTAATTACAGAGTGGCCGAGTGTGCACGTGGGACCAGCTATTTTTCCATGCAGCCATTACATGTTTTATTTTTTAATCTTTTGAGAAACATATTTATTTCCAACCAGACCATTCACCGCTCCGAGTCTGGACCCACCTGCATGACCACACTCAATCCAAATGCTGTTGCCTGTTAAGGTCATAATGAGAAAGGTTGGGGAGGCAGGGTTGGGAACCAAGAGGATAATCTGGACTTTAGTTTGGGTACTAAAACTGGTTGATCTGTTTTAACTTAGGGAAAAAAAAAATTTAAAAAAAAAAATAAAAAAAAAATAAAAGCTTGCACCAAAGTCACCAAAGAACCTTTAGGAAAATGTTACGGTTGTGACAAGTAAGAAAGTTAATTTCACTGTTTTAGGTGATTCCCCCTTTAAAACCACATATAGCAGTTACAGCAACCAAGCCTTTGGCTTAGTGTCAAAAACTCCCATCCCTTTCTCCACAGATTGCTCTTTCAGGTCCTTTTTCAAACCTGGAGGACGTGTTTTTGCTCCATCACTTGAATCGCCCGCGGACCGTGATGAATCAGCAGGGGTTGTACCGGGGGGCGCTGGTTCATCATCACTCCCATGGCTTTGGTCCTAATGGTTTTAACAGGTCAATTAAAAAAACAAAAACAAAAAACACAAACCCCAACATTAAAGTAACTCTACATCCTGTCATTGGTGTGAAACCAGAATTTAGTGAATGAGTTGTTAGCGTATCGCTGACTGCTGCTGCCCGTCACAGTGCCTGAGGTAAAAAAATTCCCTTCTAGTCCAACAAGCCGGAGCTATGAATGTACAAACTTTTTACGCTCTCCTTCCCGTTTCTACGTGGCTCGACATCTCCCCATCCCTGCCTACCTTCGCCTCAAGGGATCGTAAAAGCTCCTGCGTTGGAATTAGCCCGAGTGACCACGTGTGTTGTAAGTGATCATGCCTTCCCTGTGTTCCTGTAGTGTTGGTGAGGAAATTACTCGTCATTGGAAAGGGATGTTTTCTTCACCGTTTTAGAAGGAAAAAAGGATGCAAAGTGGCTTTCCTTATAGCTGCCCATTTTTTAAGAAAAACCTTTATCTTTTGTTGATTAATTGGCCTTCCGATGTCATTAGATTGTTATAAATATCACCCAGGAATCCAGCGTCTGCTGGCTGCCGGGCTGGGCTCGGTTCTGGCACGCAGGTATCCCGTAGGATCCGCTAATGCATTTACTCCCCTGGCATGGGGTGCACCTTAGTATCCAAACCTGGATCGGGATCTTCACGTTCACTGCCGATCACCCCTGGGCAGACCAGTAGCTACGGGTTTCCACCGCGATGGAAGGAACTGGCGTTTGCAGATGTTGGGTTGGAGAGTGATGGGTTTCCACGTGATGGGAAGCACCGGTGTTCGCAGATGTTGGGTCGGAGGGTAATATGGGTGCGCTGCAAGTGCAGCAATGCAAGTCTTGAACGGTGAGATTCGGAAACGGGTCCCTTTGTGTTTTTGGCAGCGCGTCTCCAGCTTCCGAGCGCGGTGGCAGCGTGGGCTGCTGGTGTGCAGGAGGGCCCAGCGAGATGCTCGGGAGCACCAGATCCCTGATGCGTTTTAAATGTTCACTCCCAACCCCCCGAAACTGCCATGTCCCTTAAACTTGAGAAAACACAAGCTTATTTGCACTAGAAAGAACGGCCAAAAACAATCCTTAGGAGGACAGGGTGAAGAGCACCGGTCTGAACCTCTTTTTCTCATGAGAGAATTTCCTATTCAAGCCCTCACCTCTGTTTCAAAATTGTATGGTCCCGGCAGAAAGTCTGTCAGTTGAATGATTAAATCCTAATGCACTTTATATTGTGTAAATAATATTAGGAGCACATTTCTGCTCCCGCTCTGGTAAGGGGATGCTTTGATAACGTAGTCTAATGCTGAGAGAAGCTGTCTCCTGCATGCATGTGTCTGTTAGAGACCTGTTGCACCTGCTCGGTCCAGCTCCGCTCGTATGTTAGAGGAGGACAGGCGCTGTATTGAGGATCCTCTCAAGCCACCCCGGGTGGGATGATTTGGTTTTTTAAGTTGCAAATGTGCAGAGCTGCTGAGCGTCCTCAGCTCTGCCGTCGTGGTGGCTCCTCGCCCCTTCTGCAGATCGGGCCCCCTGTGTTGCTGTCGAGGCTTAAAACTGGGCTTTTCACGTCTAGTCTTGACAAAGCCAAGTCCAGCATCTCCCTCGTTCTTGGCTTTCCCCGCTGCTGGCGCAGAAGGTGGGGCGGTCCCTAAAAAGCTTATCCCGGGTGGAAAGGGGCCTTGGGGGCTTTCCCTTGCCTTTCAGCTGGGGAGGTGGGGGATGTTGTGTTGAGTCCGGCCCATCGAGCCGGCTTCCTTGGGAAAGTACAGAGCTATGGAAGGGTTGGGAAGCGTTTTGCACTGGTGTGGTGAGGGCGGCCCGCCGGGCGCTCCGAGGGGATGGCAGACCCCACCCTCGGGGGCTCCTGGCGTGGAGCCCGGGCGATGGACTTTACCCAGCGAGAAGCTGCAGCGGTTATTGGTATCTACTCGTCGTCGTAAGTGTTTCTTATCTGTATCCGATATATACCAATCCATATTCACATATAGGCATTACTATATTTATGTGACTATATTGTAGCCTGTAGTAGCTCGTAGCGAAATAATCTTATTTATCTGAAGTGCGCAGTCTGAGGAGGGGACGTCCGCTCCTGCCACTGGTCTGGAGAAAGGTGTTGGTTCACCCAGAGCTGGCTGGGAGCTCTTGGTCACGGCCCTCGTGAGCATCCCTTAGGTTTTCAGCAAGGCTGAAAGGGAAAACATAGTCAAAAGGAGGCAAAACTCTTCCTTGGAGGCGTCGTTGAGGCGAGGTGAGAGCTGTGCGGAAGAGGCAGCTGCAGGTACTCCTGGCCACGTTGTGTTTCCGTGCCATTTTACAAGCCCTGGCTCTGCAGATCTGTACTACCACGTTCATAAAATCCCAAGCAGAAGTATTAAAATCCCATCCTTTATACAAAAAAAACCCCCAAGCAATTACCAAAATCAATGTCAGCACATTTGTTTTTTCAGCTACAGATGTCATAGTCTGGTAATTGCATCATTTTTTTTTCCCCTATGCCCTATTGCAGTGCCCTAAACTCCCAGGGATGGGAGTTGGTGGTGGTTAGGAAGCCTAGTGCTTGCGTGACTTGCAGTCCTGTTATCCAATCCTAGTAATTTTTATAGGAGAAAAAGGTTTATTATTGTGTATTTTTATTGGGCAGATTTTGCACCAGGTCAAAAATTACTTAATAAGTGATTTCAATTCCATGGCATTCCCTCTTTTGCTGTACATACAGTAGATATATACAGTTTATGAAAGAGTTCCTAAAGAGAATTAGACCTTCTGTTTAATTTTCTATGCTGCTTCCTCCAAAATTAAATTGCCCTTTATTTTCAGTTACTTAATGTGTTGTGCTGTTTAAAATTCACCTTTCCCCTCCTACCCCTCCATTCCTTTCAAATAAAGGTTGTGTTTGAAATGAAGAGTTTATTCAAATGAGAGTGGAATTAAAGGCTACACCATAAGCTATATGGAGGCTGTCACCTCAGAGCCTTTGCCAAAATGTGTTGGTTTGGGGTGATCCAGTCTTGCCTAAAAATGGCTGAATTCTGTCTTGAGCACAGGAAAAAAAACCCAGCTAGGGGACAAGGTGCTTCTGGACTCGGGTGATTTGGAAAAAGCTAAAGCCAGACCTCCTGCTGTTCTGTTTCTCCCAAGTCTGCAGATGGGCTGACTCCATTTTTTCCTCCTGATATTTTGTCCGCCCATGCTCAGTTCCCCACCTGCACCTCCATAAAGGCAACGGTATTCTAAAGCATCGAGGTGAAATAAAATACCAAGAGCTCCTGATAGATGACATGGATTGAAAATTGGTTTTCCTGAAATGTCAGGGCATAAATTGAGGTTTTATAAGCCGGATGTCGTTTTGGCATTTCTGTGATGGATGTAATTAGATCGTTCCTTCCACATGCCGAGGGAGGCATCACGCGGAACCTGAACCTGCAGCCCCAGGGCTCTCTCACGTACATGATCTTCTAGAAAGGTGTAGGTACCTGCTGGTGTTCTCGTGTTGAGTGTGGTCGTGCTCATGCTGACCTAGCCTCGAGGGGCCTGGCTGCCACCCCAATAAAACCATCATTAACGACTCGCTAATTCATCTTCTTAATTGCTAGGCTACCTCAAAACGCTTGGAGT